CATGTAACATGTAATACTAAATATGTTATAAAATAAATAAAATAGCTTCATGAGGACTGAGCTGGCCTGGAGCTTGCTATATAGCCAAGGATGACCTTTAATTTATGACCCCCATGTTGCCCGGTCCCAAGTCTTGGTGTTACAGTGTGTCAGATCATTTTAAACTCTGGCTCTCAGGACACATTTTGATACATGTATGGTGTGAGAACAGTTGTTACTTTTTAAAAAAATATTTATTTATTATGTATACACTATTCTGTCTGTGTGTATATGTCTACAGGCCAGAAGAGGGCACCAGACCTCATTACAGATGGTTGTGAGCCCACTATGTGGTTGCTGGAAACTGAACTCAGGACCTTTGGAAGAGCAGGCAATGCTCTTAACCACTGAGCCATCTCTCCAGCCCCCCAGTTGTTACTTTTTTTTTCAGACTTTAAAACAGAATTTATGGGCTGGAGAGATGGCTCAGAGGTTAAGAGCACTGACTGCTCTTCCAGAGGTCCTGAGTTCAATTCCCAGCAACCACATGGTGGCTCACAACCATCTGTAATGAGATCTGGTGCCCTCTTCTGGCCTGAAGGCATACATGGAGACTGAACACTGTGTACATAATAAATAAATATTTTAAAAAAACAGAATTTATTTCACTTTGAATACTTTTATTTATTTTTTTTGAGAAGTTTGTTTTTCTTTTTTTTGAGACAGGGTTTCTCTGTAGCTTTGGAGCCTGTCCGGGAACTAGATCTGTAGACCAGGCTGGCCTCGAACTCACAGAGATCCACCTGCCTGTGCCTCCAGAGTGCTGGGATTAAAGGCGTGCATATAATGTATTTTAATTTATTCTTTCCCCTTTACCAACTCCTCCCCCGCACCACCAAAAACATGGAATCTAATTTGTGTTGGCCGGCTGCTCTGGAGCATGAAGCCTGCCTTTAAGTGATGTCATACCGTGCTACCATACACGACGTCACACCGTGCTACCATACACGACGTCACACCGTGCTACCATACACGACGTCACACCGTGCTGCCTCTCCAGCAGCCACTGAGCGCAAGGAGCTTCTTGGCTGCGGGAGGGACTCTGTCCTCACTTCTGCGATTTGGGGGTTTAGACTCTTTCCACGATTCCTAGGCATTTGCTCCTTGTTAGAGCCACACGCTAAGGGCCACCCGAGAGTCCGTCGTCTGCTCTGTGGGTGCAGACGGAACCCTTTGCGTAAGGTCTTTGTGTTAGTGAGAAGAGTGCCCAGCATGCATGAGTTGTCTTTGGAAACTCGTGTCTTTACAATACAGACAGTTACCATCTACATACACTTTTTAATTTATTCATCTTTTTATCTCCGCAGTTTTAATTTTCTCCCCATCGAAGCTTATACATTTTAGTTTTCTCTTTATTCCTGCGTATTTCAGGATTTTGTTGCTGCCGTGGATATGATTTTTTTCCTGCTATTTCCTCCTCACACTGCATCTCCCTGGGTGTGCACATGCGTCTGTCTTTAGATCTTCTAGAATTATATCAGAAGTCAGGCCACGAGGAGGGAGGAGAGAGCCTTACTGATTAGGAAAAGGAAGGTTCTGGAAGGCTCCAAGAGGAGCCTTCCCTTTGGGCAGGGTCTCACGCAGGCAAGGTGAGCTGTGTAGTGGGAAGGGAACAGGCAGAGGCTATGTGGTGAGGTCCCCGGACTGGAAATGATCCTGTTTCTTGGGAGATGAGAACAGGCAGATTGAGCTGGAACACCTGCTCTGTGAGACTGAACCATGATCCAAGATAACTACTATACCCAGGACTAAATTGTCCGATTACACTGGTGTGCAAAAACAAAAACAAAACAAACAAACAAAAAGCAAAAAAAAAAAAAAACCCTTTACCACGAGGATTCCTTTTATTCTCTTGCTGTGATAAAACTCTAAGAGCAACTGAAGGAAGAAAAGATTTTATTTAGCATCCAAACAGTAGTCTGTCATTGAAGGAAGTTGTGGAAAGAGCCCAGGCAGGAATGTGCAGCAGAAACCAGGGACGGATGCTGATTGATGGCTTCCTCTCAGCCAGCTTTCGTATACAGCCCAGGACCACCTGCCTAGGGAATGGTGCTGCCCGCTGTGGCTTTCCTGCAGCAACAGCGATCAACACAGTCCCCCTGAGACATGCCACAGGCAACTGATCCGAGCAGTTGTAAGTTGAGACTCCCTGGGGCCTCTAGCCTGTGTCAAGCTGGCAGTTAAAGCTAACGAGGATACTAGACAATTGCAAACTGTTTCCAGAAACATGCAATGTTTTAAATCAAATATGGGGCCCTAACAAACACTTAATATACACTAGGCCAATATCAAAGAGTTGATTATGTGGTTACTCTTCTTAGCTAACACATTGACATGAGACATCAATATAACAAAAATATTTTATACCTTTGGAAATTTGACAACAGATTAAAAAATCATGATAAACTATGTAAGAACAAAATCTATGACATTAAACTAAAAATAATAATGCCAACTGTAGTGTATAAATTTGAAAAGTATTGTCTACTTTTTCTTTACTGTGTATTTTTTAATTTAAAAAATTACTTTTAAAAATTGCTTCTTATGTGTACAGGTGTTTTGCCTGCATGCATGTCTATTTACCATGTGTGTGCCTGGTTCCTGTAGAAACCAGAAGAGGGCAGCAAATCTCCTGGAATTAGAGTTACAGATAGCTGTGAGGCGCCATGGGTGTTGGGAACTGAACCTGGGTCCTCTAGAAGAGCAGCCAGTGCTCCTAAGTGAAGAGCCATTCCTCCAGCCCTTAACTGTATCTCTACATGTAAACACTCTCGAGGGAAAAGTGTTCAGACATTTACGGTGGTTCACTAGGAAGTGAGAATCTCAGAGTTCATTATTTTCATTCATCCATGTTTTCTTGGTTCCAATATGGATTTTTGATGTTCTTTTATTTTCATTGGTGTGTGATCGCTGTACAAAGCTTTGGTGTGCTCCTGTACAGCCTTTGCCTTACATATTACAGGTGTGCACCACCACGCCTGGATGAAAATCTTGTTTTGCGACAGACGTGCAGGGCAGCCTCTGAAAGTCAGTTCTCTGGACTGTGGTCTCTGGGATCAAACACAAGGTCATCAGACCTGCCTGCCAGACCACCTGACTGCACAGCTACTGCTTTGTTTGCTTTGTCTCAAGACAGGGTCTCCGTTGTTATCTTCACTCTCTTGACTTTTTACTCTTGGGGTTCTCCATGCAGCTCCCAAATAAACCGTACATGGAAGCTTATTCTTGGTTATGAATGCCTGGCCTTGGGTTGGCCTGTTTCTCGCTAGCTTTTCAACATCCCCGGCTACCTTTCGCCTCTGGGCTTTTCCTTTTTCTTCTGTGCATCTGACTTTCACTCTTACTCTGTGTCTGGCTGGGCGGCTGGGCAGCCGGGCGGCCGGGCGGCCGTGTGGCTGTGTGGCTGGGTGGCTGACCCTGAAGCTCTCCTCTCCTTGCTCTCTTGCTCCTTCTTTTCCTCGGTTCTCCTATTTATCCTCTCTGCCTGCCAGCCCTGCCTGTCCTTGCTCCTGCCTTGCTATTGGCCGTTCATCTCTTTATTAGACCATCAGGTGTTGCAGACAGGCACAGTACCACAGCTTCACAGAGTTAAACAAGTGCAGCATAAACAAAAGCGACACATCTTTACATCATTGAACAAGTGTTCCCCAGCATAAACAAAAGTCACACACCTTAAAATAATGTTCTACAACAGGCCTTGAACTTCCTATCTAGTCAAGGATGACCTTGAACTCTTGATTCTTCTTTCTTCACCTCCTGGAGTGCCGGAGGTGCGTGCGTGTGTGTGTGTGTGTGTGTGTGTGTGTGTGTGTGTGTGTGAGAGAGAGACAGAGAGAGAGAGAGAGAGACAGAGAGAGAGAGAGAGAGAGACAGAGAGAGACAGAGAGAGACAGAGAGAGAGAGACCTTGAGTGTGTTGAGAGCTGGGATGTTCACCACCGGTGCACCTTTGTCACCTCTTGATGAAGTCATCCTAGCGCCCATGTGCTGTGTTAGTGTTTGTGTCTCCGTGCTATTAGCACTATTAGCATTTGTGTCTTAGTACTGTGACTGTCTCCTTCCTTCAAAGAAGGGTTTCAGCCCCGTGAATTCCAAATGTAGCCATGCTCTGCTTCCTTGCGCCACAGGTCAGTTTTGCTTATTTGGGAACCTCATATAAAGAGGAAGCTGGCATTTTCTTTGCATGTCTGGTTTCCTTTGCTCAGCACTTTGCTTTGAGAGTCAAGCTTGCTGATCTAGCTGGATGGTTTTGGCTTTTTGAGACAGGGTCTCTCTATGTAGCCATGGCTGTCCTGGAACTCACTCTATAGACTAGGCTGGCCTTGAACTCACAGAGATCTACCTGCCTCCTCTTCCTGAGTGCTGGGATTAAAGGCATGCACCACCACTGCCCAACAGGATAGTCTTTCTTGTTGTATTTGTTAATCGTATGAAGGACTGAAGAGATAACTCAGTCGCTATAGTGCTTGCTTTACAAGCGTGAGGATCTGAGTTCAATCCCCAGAACATAGATTTAAAAAATCATGGTATGGTGGGGCTTGCTTGTAACTCCAGTGATGTGTGTGTGGGGGGGGGCAGCGGCAGGCAGATCCCTGGGGCTCACTGGCAGCCAGTCTAGCCTGCTTCGTGAGTTCCAGACTAGAAAGAAACTCCGTTTCAAAAATAAGAAAGTAAATTAATTAAATAAAATAGAAAATAAAGAATGGCTCTTGAGGACCAACACCTGATGTCTTTAGTCCTCCACATGCTTGTGTGCAGGTACCCACATACACGTGTACATCACCACGATGTGCACACCACACACACACACACACACACACACACACACACACACACACACACCTTCACCTGAGTTCTGCATGTTTGTTCCACAAAGCAGTGTCCAATGTGGACTTGAAGCAAAAGCGCCCTCCCTGATCGGCTGTTTTGTGTCTCCCCCTTCCCCCTATCGATGGTGTCCAGTGAGATGAGTCAGAAAATGGCCAAGGAGGGCCCCAGGCTCTCCAAGAATCAGAAGTTCTCGGAGCACTTTAGCATCCACTGTTGCCCACCCTTCACCTTCCTCAACTCCAAGCGCGAGATCGTGGACCGCAAGTACAGCATCTGCAAGAGCGGCTGCTTCTACCAGAAGAAGGAAGAGGACTGGATCTGCTGCGCTTGCCAGAAGACCAGGTGAGCGTGGGCTCTGGGCCAGGTCTGCGCCACATTCCCCTCCTCCGTGACTGTCAGCTCTCTTAGGAAGGCGCTGGAGGGCAAGCAGAAGGCGGGCGGGAGGGCAGGGCTTTCCTGCTGTTTCTAGCTCCTTTCAGCATCCCTTAAGCAAGGTGCAGAGCCCGGCCGGCCGCAGCCTCCAGCTTCTTTTGGCCCTCTCTGCACCAGCCGCCGTGCCAGGTCCCCTCAGAGGCCCAAGCTCCAGCCAGCTGCATCCCCCGTGGTGGTCAGAGCGCCGCCAGCCAAGCCAAAGTCCCCTCCGAGGCCAGCCAAGCCAAGGTCCCCTTCGAGGACTGAGCGTCAGCCGCGTCCCCGCCCAGAGGTCCGACCACCACCAGTCAAGCAGAAGCCCCCTCAGAAGTCCAAGCCACCAGCACGCAGCAGCCCCCTCAGAGGGCCAGGCACCAGCCGTGGGGGGTCTCCCACTAGAGCGCCTAGGTTCTGGTAACACCATCTCTTGCCTTTTGTCTCCCACTAGCCTGAGGTCAGTAGCTGCTCTATGCGCGTACTAACCTGGGGGACTTCTCCACAGTACCAAGCCTGTGTAATCCACTCCCTCCATTAAACCCCCTCTTGTTTGAAACACCCGGCCTGGCTTCTGTTTTTCCTCCCAGATGTTCTCGGTCCTCACTTCAGATGGCTCTGTCTGTGCCATCCCACAGGACTGCAGGTCGCTAATTTACCAGCTCATACTATTTGTTGACCACAGTGGCAGGCGGAGAATACGGAGTTGATCCGCGCTGCCGCTTTGTACCCCAGAGAGGAGGAGAAGAGACTCTGTATCTGGGCATGTGTGGAAGGAGAGAGCCCAGTGCTCCGTTTGCTCACCCTCCTGACACATGTCACCACATATTAGCCCCCGAGGCAATGACACTCCTTTGTTTGCTCAGTCTGTCACTCAGCAAACCGTACTGCCGTCTGATATGCTGTACTGGGGAGAGGAATATAATCTGTGATTTCTTTGTATCAAGGAAGAGACCAGCTGATGATGGTGCAAACATTGAAATACTGCCTTACTCAGGAGGTCTGTGGCCTGTGGGAGCCCCAAAACAGAGCCGTCCCAGCTCTGCCATGGGAGCCTGAGGTTTCACAGAAAGTTAGGTTGGAGCAGGCAAACCGGAGAAGGACGGCCAGGGAGGCTCTGTCCTGCTCTACCTCAGATGGACCCATTTCTTCTTTTTGAGACAGGGTCTCACACCATAGTTCAGGTTAGCCCGGAGCTTACTCTGTAAACTCATTAAGATCCTCCTGTTTTAGATCCAAGAATGCTTGGACGCCATGTTTGGTGTTGACAACCCTTCCTCTTCCTTCTTTTCTCGTCTTCTCTACAGACTTTATTTTTTTTTTGGTACAGTTTTAGGTCTACTGCAAAACTTAAGGAAGACAGAAACTTCTCTGTTCCCTGCCAGCAACATTTTAATATTTGCAAATAGATTTGCTTGCTGAGTTGGTGGTGAGCACCAGCTGTGCCTACTTCCTCTCCGCTCTGCTGCTCAGCCCCTGTGCAGACTTCTAGAACCCTCCTGAGAGCATGTTCAAGGGTCACCAGTGAAGTTTGGGGGTGTCTTCATTTTCAGACACAGCAAACAAACCTAACTTGGATATCCCTAAATAAAGGACCCGCATCATCTTTGCCAGCTGCCATGATTGTGATGTCCCCAAATGAAAGCATTGGCAAGATGCAAGGTCACAAGTTTCACCTAGCAAAGGGACTAGCTGGCTACGGCTCACTTAAAGCTTAGCAGAGAAGTGAATCAAGGTCGACCAGTCACAAAATCCCTCCAAGAGGCTGCAGTGAGAGGTTGGTTCAGCCAGCTAACTTCTGATACACAGAAGGGGCTGGAAAATGCAGAGCTGAGGCCGTGAGTTTATACAGGAGAGGCAGCCCTTTATGGAAAGTCAGTTCGTGACATTTCAGGTCGTTGGAGGTCAAGCTGGAATGGAAAGGACATAGAAGACAATGAGGATAAATCCCATCTCAGACACAGGTTTGTTTGGACTCAGCCTCACTCACTATGGTCACCAGGCTCAGAGACATCAGCCAAGATGTCTCCACAGGCTGTGTGTGTGTCCTACCTCCCTGGGAATCAGGACCAGCTTCCTACCGTCCATGGCTCTCATGCACCCTCTGAGCCCCATCCAAGATACTCATTTTCCCTTCTCTGAATCTCAGAGGTTGTAAGGTAGTGCAATAGAATAGATATTTTAACCACTACATTATTTCCTTTATTGATTTGATTGGCTATCTCAAATCAGAGGCGTTAATTAATAGGAACAACTTATACTCAATCAGGGTAGCGAGGCCTTAAAAAAAGGTTTAAAAGGAGATTTTCTGAAGCTGACACGCTTTCAGACATGATGCTGATGCTCAGGTATTGTGTGGAGGGATCAAACAATTTAGACAAAGACCTTTTTGGATCTATAATAATCTTTTGAATAGCTCTTCTCCAGAAAGCAGAGAATAATCTGATTTTAGAAATGAGTGGGTTGGTTTCCAGTATCTCAGTGGAAGGTAGGAGCATCTCTTTCTCTGTGGGCAGTGGTCCTGGCACGTCCGTTTAGTTTATTCTTTTCCACGTCTTTAAGATTTGGGACTTAATGTGAAGGTTCCAAGATGACTGAGCTGCCCCTGTAAGACACTGCTACTCTATGAGATTCGATCCACAGCCCAGGGAAATCAGGACACACAATAAAAAGTATCTTTTTATACCTTCAATTTCCTCTGTCCATTAATAACAGTACAAAGTAAGATAGTTTATTTTTGTACCTTGATTTATGTATTGTGATTTCACTTATTCTAGCTTTTTCTGGTAGAGCCTGGATTTTATACATCATAATCATGTCTTTCAGTAGAGACAGCTGTGCATTTTCTATTTCTATCTGTGTACTTAAGTGTGTATGTTTTGAGCTGCTATCTGTGCTGAAAACATATTTTGAAATATAGCTTAGTGTCTTCAAGGTTTATTGTCAAGCTAGAGAATGGCCCCAGACGTGCCTGGGGATGCTAACAGAAGTCCTAATCCCTGATAGACTCTCTGTGGCAGCAATTGTTGGTCCTTAGATACTGACATCATCAATTGTCAGTCCTTAGATACTGACATCATCAATTGTCAGTCCTTAGATACTGACGTCAACAATTGTCGGTCCTTAGATACTGACATCATCAATTGTCAGTCCTTAGATACTGACGTCATCAATTGTCGGTCCTTAGATACTGACATCATCAATTGTCAGTCCTTAGATACTGACGTCATCAATTGTCGGTCCTTAGATACTGACATCATCAATTGTCGGTCCTTAGATACTGACATCACCCTGGTGTTCAGTGAGAGGCATACACTGGAGTGCTTGGACTCAGGTTATGTGATGAATTTGACTCTGACAAGCCTGTAGAGCCTGTCTGTTCTTGGAGGGAGCCCTCCGCCCAAATGGAAAATTTTTGTGACTTGAAACTTTCAAAGCTACACCAGAGTAAAATGAGGACATTTTATATGAGGATTGACTCTCATGGGCCACCGTCCTTTAATCTTCCTCTTTTGGTAAGGAGCCCTGATAGAGCCGTTTGTCTCACGACCTGCTGAGCAGTCCTCTGCTGGGCCTTCTTGACACATTTACCCTTGTGCATGGGTTTATTTACTTGTGTCTCCTTGCAGGACTGTGTGTAAATCAGGTTCAGGCACTCTTACACTCATCCCTCCAGAGCCCAGCTCAGGGTTTGGCTGATGTTAGTGACTCAGACCAAATGCGGCCTCACAGTCTGACACAGCATCAGGCTTGAGTTTAAGTTTTTAGATAAACCTGTGACCAGGGCTTACATTGGCTGGGCCTATATTATTTGTAATAAATTTATTAAATGTTGCTTATCTTTTGAACATAGTTCATTCCTATCAAACCAGGGACATGTTAACCTGATCAGAATTTTATAACAGAGTTCACATACTCTATATGTATGTGAGCATGTTTATGTTTACAGCCGTGGTTTCCGTCACTGCTTTCTTTCTTTCTTTTTTTTAAAAGATTTACTTATTTATTATGTATACAGAGTTCTGTCTGTCTGTATGCTTGCTGGCCAGAAGAGGGCACCAGATCTCATTACAGATGGCTGTGAGCCACCATGTGGTAGCTGGGAATTGAACCCAGGACCTCTGGAAGAGCAGTCAGTGCTCTTAACCTCTGAGCTATCTCTCCAGCTCCTCCGTCACTGCTTTCATTGCTGTGACAAGGTATCTGGGAAAGTGGCGTTAGGAAAGCTTCTTTTGACTCACAATTTGAAGGAACACAGTCCCTCATGTCACGGTATGGTGGCAAGAGTGTGAAGTAGCTGGTCACACGGTGTCCGCAGTCAGGAAGCAGAGAGAGATGAACGCTGGTGCTCAGCTCACTTTCTCCTTCTTATTCGTCCCAGGGACCCAGTTCATGAGCTGGTGCCCCCCCCCCCAGGCTGAGTCTTCTCATTTAAACCTTTCTGGGGACACCCCCATAGACACAGAGGTGTGTTTCCTTGGTGACTCAAATCCAGGCAAGTTGACAGTGAAGATCAACCATCACGAGTAGTGAAATGCCTTTTGTTTCTGTTCTAGGAGTGCAATGTACTGTCACTGCCTTGTGTTCTTTCGTGTTGCAAAACTGGGTGACAAATAGCCAGAAAACCAAAAATCATTATGCATAGAAACAGGAGGATTTTTAAAAACTGTTATCTTTCCTAGGCTCAATCCAGGAAAAAAAAAAATTGTGTCTGTTTTGGCCAGAGATGACAAGAGTTGAGAAACCAAGAGAAGGGCTCTAAAGCTGATTTCTGAGGAGAAAAACAGCACCAGAGCCCAGTGGTTTAAGGTCCCTCCTACTCTTGTAGGACCTGAGCTCAGTTTGCAGCATCCCACATGGTGGTTCAAAATTGTAACTTTAGTTCCGGTGCCCCCTTTTGGCATCTGTGGAAACTGCATGCACATGGTGTTCCCATGCGTGTGCACACATGCGCGCTCTCTCTCTCTCCCCCCGCCCCCACACAATAAAAATAAATACATCCTTGAGAAAGGTCCATGAAATCACAATTATATTAAATACTGTACAGGAAGTGGGCATCACCTGCCAGTTCATGAAATTTTCTTTTTCTCTTTGTAAATCAGATTGAAAAGGAGGAGCAGGTCAACCCCAAGAAAAAAGTGACCAAGAAGTGATTTCCCGTGAATGGACGGCCTCCGCCTGTGGACTTTCTACTTCACAAGCCATCTGCCCTCAGACAAACTATCTGGTCTCAAGGATGATGCAGGGTCAGACGCCTGCTGACGTGACAGCTACAGATGCCCTCAGTCCTCACGGTGTGGGAGCCTTAGGGCAGCCTGCCTGGAGGTGAGGGGGGCCCTTTGTACCATAGTCACTGAGGACCCTTGGGCTCCAGAGCTCAGGAGAGGGGCCTTCTGGTGTCATCCGCAGCCCTTTGCTCTCTGGCAGGTGCGTGAAGCCTCCAGGGTCTCTGGCAAAGGTCTGCAGAGCTAATCCACACATATTCCTCCATCTCTTTATTCCGCTGTACCCCTTTATCCAGTGACTGAACCTGGCTTTGATCCTTCAACCTTTTCCTTCTTAATTCTCTGTCTGGCTCCTCCTGTTCCTATGCCATGTGCTTTCTGTTTAATGTCCTTACTCAGGGTCAGAGCCAGAGTGCACGCTGGTGAAGGTCCAGGTGATTTTCAGATAAGGTACAAATTGTCATACGATCCTTAAGTGCTAAGATGTCCCCAGAGTCATGTTAAGTCAGATGTAGCTAACCTGTATCAGAAACAGAGGAAAGGTTACAACTGCGGCCCCAGTCTCCCTCTGCGGGCCCCTGTCTCCATCCTCACACAGGGCAGGGTGAGCATCAACTCCTGCCCAGGTCTGGGTGAGAACAACCTCTTTAAAGCACTGCCTTTGGAATCA